CTTCGCGACATTTCAATTTATTATTTACTGTCGAAGGCTCTGGAATCCAGGGTAGGCTTTACTCAAAACGCGAGTCAAATGTTGAACGAATATCAGGAATTCTTATGAGGGCCGATTGCATGGAGAACTCAGCCCTGGGTTGAACATTTTGTCATGTAATCGCGCGTTTGGTTTTGATAGAGTTTTGTATTACAGACAGGGCTGAAATTTCAACCCGGTAAACAGGGCTGAGTTCAACTTCGGGGTTGAAATGCTCCATGTAAACGGCCCCTTAGATGGTGGAGTCCAGAGTCCATGAATCCACAATGATAAAAATCCATCATCGCTCCCCATTTTATTCTGCGCACATTAATTTTATCTCGAAAATTAATCTGCATTCTCAAGGTGCTATGTGCATCTCACAATCGCCATTTACGGTTGATTCTTTTCCAGATTCCATATCTATAAATATCTTAAATTTGTTATTCACTCAGCTGGATGGACTGTAAGCGCACACGTTAATGCACTTCTGTAAAATTTGTGTTGAAATAACATGTATATTTGTCATGCTGTACAACGATATATTTGGAATTCTACGAAATACCACACCAGAACTATTCAATTCAATATATACAAAGCTTACTTTCTGTTTACACAAAGTTTAAACTCTGATTCTTTGTGCATTCTTTGGATTAACTTTTATACCATAAATAATAATATATCTTTCCATTTCTTGGTTTTCTTGATTGTTTTTTAAAAATTTTTATGGGTTTTTTATTCAACCTCGCAAACCAGGGTCTTTACGTAGCGTGATTGACCCTCCCCTCCTTATTCCACATTATTGTGGTCCGCTCCCCATTTCCCCAGCCATGCTACGCATGAAGGCTAGCTTGACCCTGGCTTGCAAGATTGCATGGTGATAAACATTTAGGCCTTTACTGATTCACCAAGATTATGTAGTATCCTACCCTGAGGCTCTTTGCGAGGCGAAAGAAACGAGAGGCGAGAAAGAAGAGCCTCTGGTCAACATCGTTCAGAATTTGAATCTCGCATTTATAGCTATATAAATAGCTCTATAATTAGCTTACATGCAGTAATGTTTATTTCCCAAACCGGTTTGACATATTTTTACAAATGGTCAATCACATGCGAGGCTCTTCTCGTTTATTTCGCTTCGCAAAGAGCCTCTGGAACCAGGGTAGTAGTATCCCCACTGCACTTAAAAGGTTGTGGAAAGTTGCAATATAGATGCTTGAAACTCTATGTAAAGTGGGTAAAACAATTTTTTCATTTTTTGTAATAGTCAAACCCGCACAAAAAATCCCAACTGGGATTTATATCACTGCAATTTTTTCCTATATTGTTGCTGTTTTAACGCCCTCAAATTAAATGTAAGCGCGCGTGGGTTGAGATATTCAGATAGCGATGGAGAACTTCCACGCCACTATTGTTTTTGATATAGAGCGAAATGTGCAAGCTTTGTTTACTTCTCCGACAGGTGCAAGCAAGTTGGCAGTCGATCGATACTGGCCACATGCAGGAACAGATAAAAACGTCAAATATTTTGTAGATAAAAAGAAAATATAGTTGTTTTGTCGGGAGCTTTTAACTCTCCATGTTTTTAGGAGTGGAAATTTGATAAATACTAAAAGGATTACGCAGTTTTCTTATCACATTAGAACTGTTGTTTACAGAGGAAGACTTAAAAATGTGACAGATGTACCGGACTCGTATCTAGATCTACTATTTTTATATATTTTTATACCAATTTTTATATAGATTTATAATATATCATGCCCGACCAGACCTTCCAGGTATATTGGTGTTTAGACCATTTTAATTTTGGTTAATTAACAGTATTTTATTGTTAAGACTGTTAACATAGCCATTGGTTGAAATAAGGGTATAACAATTAAGTGCTCAGCCGAGACAGACTTAGAATTTTAGGTATTATGGAATATATTTGTATTTTGGTAACTCCCATGTCTATGCCAGATATATACATATAAAAAGAAACAAATAATTATTTCTTGTTAAGGAATTTTTACTTTAAGATCGCCCGGTGTTAGACAGATGTAAAGTCAGCAATTTTATGATCAGCATGGGAGGAACGGAGTTAGAGTCCTCATATTGTTGAATGAATCGCGCGGTTCTCTTGTTCCACTTGAATTATGATATGAAATCTTTATTTTCTAATGAGGGTGGTTGTTGTATGATGGCTGGCATTGAGGGCGGCCTATTGTGGAGATTCGAGGGCGGAGAATGGGCTGAGTACGGTGGTGGAGGATGTGCAGGTGGTAGGTGATTTGCAGGTTGGGACTCGAGTCCTGAAGACTGACCTGAGGAAGGAGGCAAGTCTGCGGTTTGTGACAAGTATTCAGAGTGATACACTACAGTATCTGCATTAGATATCCCATTTTCTGCCCCCATTAATCCTGGCTGAGTTGTCCTAACGCCATTTACAATTGTTATAGGAAATATCACTTTAGGATCAAACGCCGATTCTATATCAACACTCACTTCAAAGTAATACTCCACTAACATACATTTGCATTCAAAGTTAGGCTCAGTATCAGGAGGGATGGTGAGACTCGCATCTTTCCAAGCGCCCTCACTCCCAGGTGGAACGTCTTCACTCAAAACTTCTGAAGATATTGTGAATTCTTGTGTTTCTTCACGTGATGAACTATAAAATGTCACTCGTTGCATTAATCTCGCTTCGACCTTTCTCAAAGATTTATTAGTTGTTTTATTATCATGTTCAAATGAGAAAACAAGATGTTCTCCCCCTTGAAAAGCTTGTTTTTGTAGTTCAGCACGAAGACGAATAGGTCCTGACTCGCAGCAAAGGCAACAAAGAAATTTTTCAACTGTTTCACTTCTTGGTTCCAAAAGTTGAGGTGTTTCATTCAAATCAACTGGTGTGGGAACCACCTAAAACAAGAATTATATTGGTTTGCTTCACCTGTTTATACTTAAAGACAAATGATCCCTCTGGACGAAACTGGGCAAAGGCAAGAGAGTGTGTATGATAATCAGAATATTTTTTTTTAAGAGACCTGAAAAACAATGCACTTCGGGCACATGCGAACCGGATAACTGAGAGTCAGAGAAATTGATTACGTGTAATTCCTTCTATTTTTTATAAGTACAAACTGAAATCAATGTTCAGATTGCCAAAGGCGAATTAATTGAGAAACTACTAAAACTTTGGAAAAGTATTATGGATTATTAGCATTTGTATTTTTAAGTTAATAGCCCGATAAAAGGGTGTTCACAAGGGTACTAACACTTAAAGACGGATCATGATCTTTCATACGGATCATGCATCTTCACTGAGAATCCGTCTCTAGAATCAATCGAACCAAGACCAATCCCCCCTGCCCTAATTCAATTGACTAATTCATTACCTTGAAATGGATCTGCGAGTCAGGGTGGTGCGGAGCACTAAGTTCAATATCTTCGACGGTCACATTCATACAGTACTGAACATACCCGCTGGTTATGGGCGCAATAAAACTCGGCGGCAAGGATTTGGGCAGTTGATATTGAAAGGGATAGGTATAGTCCCCTACTTGAAGGGGTATTCCTTCTTCTGGGGGTGAAGTTGGGGGGAGAAGAATGTCCTTGTGCTTGAAATACACCTCGCTGTTCCAATGAAATTTCGAATCTTTGCCATGACCTGTCATCCATGAGACGTGAGATTTACCCTCAAATTCTAAGGTGATCTTCTTAGTTCTCATTGGCTCGTCCACACGTACTGTGAGAGTACCAGCAACTGTTTCTCCTGGATAGAAATATCGTTTTGGATCTGCGAAGTTCACATCGAATCTTGGCATTTCGATGATTGGAAAGAAGTATTTCTACTATTTCGAAATCTACAGAGGAAGTGGTTTTAAGTGCCAGATTGACCTTTGACATGGTAAATGTAAATAATGAATTTGATCACGCGTTGTGAAATTAGTTCACCAGTAGGCAGGTTGCAGGCTGTACGTAAAAAGTCCAACTGACTCATAAGCAGTAAAAGCGGAGGTAAAGAGCCTGGCTTGCTTGCGAGGCATAGAAATAATAGGTCTAATATTTCTATGTTGCGAGGTCGCCCAAACGTCGCCATTATTTTTACGTATACGTTAAGGTCCAGACACACCGGTTAAAAAAACAGCCAATAAAAGTAAATTTTGAAAGATATGTAGATCAAATAACTCAAACTGTTATACCACCTCTAAATATTTGGAAAATTTAAACTAGAATCAAAGTTATCGGTCAGTGAAAATCGAAAAATCGCGTCCCATTGTCGAATCGCGTCCGGTGTGTCTGGACCTTTTTTGAGAAAGAAAGAAAATTCTTTACACTTTACAAAAGGTCTTTACACTTTTGTCCCTTTTCAAGGTTTTAAGATCGTCTAAATAAAATTTATTATTGGGACTGCAAGTCATGACAAGATAAAATTTTTAATAAATGCCCCATGCGTCGTTAATCTGTCGGAGAGAATAACAACGACATCGTTGGCGTTCCATTGGCGACGTAGGCTTCCAATCACACGGCGGGATCTCGCTTTGACGTAATAGGGGACATTATTCGTGGTTCAAAGTGCTTGGGGCGTAACCATTAGAGTTTAATAAATTAACTTTCTTGACGCGAACGTTTGTGGGAGCGTGAACGGTAAACACAAACATGCCACGGTTCGATGTAAATTTCGCGGATCCAAAGAAGTTTTTCTACCCGGGCGAAACCATCATTGGAAATATCGTAATCAAGCTTGACTCAGCCATAAATTGCAAGAAAATATCGTTGAAATTTAAAGGCAAGAGTCATGTAAGATGGACAACCGGATCGGGAGACGACAAGAAGACACATTGGAATACCGAAGAATATTTTAAAAATTCTATAACACTAGTGGCAGCGCTGCCTCCAGACTCAGAAATAACTCTCCATCCAGGGGAATTTAGCTATCCATTTCAGTTTCAACTGCCAAGTAATTTACCACCGAGTGTTGAAGCGCCCATAGTGACAGGGAATATCCAGTACTATATGAAGATTAAGATTGATGTTGATTCGTGGAGATTGAAATCGGACATTGAAGAAAAGATACCTTTCAAGGTTGGTAGAATAAGGCTGAGGTTTTGACTTTTATAACAACTTCGATTCTTAAATGATAGCTGACTAATTCTGAGAGAGCAAAAGAGCCACTCACCAACTGACATCTTACAAAAAATCTTGCTTATCGGAAGTGATACCCAAATGATCCTCAGAGTCACATAAGCATGCATACAAATCCCAGTTTTGTGATCAATCTAGCCCACCAGATAAACTTTATGACAGTTTCTCCTAATTGCCATGTAAACAACCTATGTGCCATTAATAGGTACAGTACCACAAGTGAGACAACTGAACTGACTACATGCAGTATTTGTTCCCAAAATATTTAACAAAATATTAAATATGCCTTATCTCTTATGTCAAACCCATTTTCAGGTAGTTGCATCACCAGTGGATTTGAATCAAACTCGAAACCTCCTCGAACCAGCGGCTGCCACTGAAGAAAAATTTCTTTGTTGTCTTTGCTGTCAGTCTGGCCCTATCCGACTTGTTGGCAGAATTCAAAAGCAAGCTTATTACCTTGGCGACCAAATAATTTTTTCATTTGAGCTCGATAACAAGGAGACAGACAAACCATTAAGAAAAATTGAAGCAAGGTTGATAGAGCGGTTTACATTTATCAGTAATACTGGCCGTACCAGTGAGCATGAACATGCAAAGTCATCTGTGCAGTTAAGCGAAGGTGTGCCTCCACGAGGGGAAGACACTTGGAATAATGTAACGCTTAACATACCCACCAATATAATACCAAGCTTTAACAACTGTAAGTGTATGCGCCTTGAGTATTATTTCATAGTGAATGTCGATATTGAATCTGCATTTGATCCAAAGGTTTCATTTCCAATTACAATCTCAAGTGGCCCACAGATGGTACAACCTGTCATTCAACCCCCATTTATCCCCGGAAATGTGATGCCACCTGCACCAGGTATGGTGTACCCTCCTCCCACCACAAGTTACCCTCCTATGCCTCCTACAGGTTACCCTCCTGCAACAGGCTATCCTCAACCAGCTGGCTACCCTCCAGCAACCATCACCCAACAACCAGAAGTATGGAACCCTGATTTACCACCACCAGCTTACCCAATTGAAGAAAAGAAATAACACTTCAGCAAAGCATATAATATATTGAATAATTCTCAATCTTACAATATTTATAACATTTCAATAGCCTTGAATTAATGACTTAGTAGAGGCCTTTTCTGAGCTAAATAGTTGATTACTGACTGTATAAAATACACCATTTTGGAAAGTACATCACTTTGGTCTTTGGTTAGTTAAAGACTTAATAAAGCCTATGGTTAAAGCCATGAGTTAAAGCCTAGGAACATTTCAATAATTGAAACAATTAAGGCTACATACAAAAACAAGGTGACATACTTTCCGAAAGCATGTATTAGATGATGAATAATATTGCTACAGCACAAAATTTTAAATAAAACTCTTTAAATGTTAATAAAAAATTTTATTATTATTTATACTATATATGAACTTGTCTTTGCTTTACATAAAGTAAAGTAAACATGTAACTTCTGTCATTAGGTAACGCGGGCTCGTTTATGCTATTCATAATTATATATATATATACATATATATTACAAACAGAAACATATAAAGTTCGATTTTTTGTCTTTTTGGGTCCTAATCCTTGCAGAAAACTATTTTAACTACATCCTGGACGCAGACATGTAATCGTAGACGATATAATTGGTTTTAACATCTTTGATCGGCAACTACACGCCAAAGAAATATATATTTATATCGGTTGCTATGCACATGTTGACATCCTGAGAGCAAGGGGTTCTCTTTGCCCCACAAATCAAAATGTGGTTTTATTTTATGTCCCACGTCGCCTATCACCTTACAAGATGGTTTCCAAAGGACGATCGCAAAAGGATGTGAGTTTAAAACGTCGTTTAGGAAAGGTTGAAAATTGAGACAGTTAAATATATAAAATTCTTTTGTTGCCTTGGAGAGTTACACTAGGTTTCCTTCCAATTATTTACAATTAGACTTATTAGTAGATACTAAGAATACTAAGTGTACCTAAAGCTCTGATCAAACGAGGATGAGAGTTGAGAAGCAAGAGTTTGCATGAGAATTTTCTCAACTCTGATCATGCCCTGGTGAAACGAACACAAGAGTCGCACGAGAGTTGACTGGATCTTACTCTTGCAGTCTTGTCAACTCTCATTAAAATTTGAACCAGCTCAAAGTTGAAAAGAATTGAGGAGAGTGCATGGGAGTCTATGAGAGTTGGCGGTCAACTGTTAGAGAGAGTTGCAACTCTCACTAATAATCTAATTACTCCACTTATCCTGTTTGACCGAGGCTTCAGTGTACAATGTGTAACTTACATTTATACATTTTGTGTACAAAAGTTATATAAAATTCGGTTTTATTATCTTTTTTTAGACGCATTGCCCTAATCCTTTTTGCCTTGACTTTCATTATTCCACAAATTTATGTTGTAATGTTGTAAGTATTGAATTACTGTTTTGGTAATCAATTCATTGTGAGCACATTATGCAAATCAGGTAACTAAATGAATAATGAATCATGGTATACCATAATCTAACTTTACAGGGATAAAAGCACAAGATATTGTGATCAACCTCTCTTACAGATTGCTGTAGCTTCATTGATATTTACATTTGCTATGATAGGTAAATTATATTGTAAATTAAATAATAAAAAGTTTCACAGTGTTAACAGTCCAAACAAACTAATTTGAATTTAATAATAGTTTATCACGTTTTAAGAGTTTAATAGAAAGGAAAAACTATTTCAGTAATCAGTAGGGTAATCCAACCATTGCTCAATTACAAGACCAATTTGTTCTCAACAATAAAGCCCTGATTTATAAAAATAAATTCAGTATTTCTATAAATCTAAAACAAAATATTCGTCTGGATATGAAAACAATAATTTACAAATTATTAAATACATGAAATGTTTAAAGGGTAAAATTGAAAAGATGTTCAAGTACTATTTATTTATAATCAGGGAGTCAAAAACTACTGCATTTATAACCATTTTGTCGATTTTTAAAGAGCCTTTGGCAAATGCAGTAAGTTGCTACATGTATTAATGATAAACTGGTGGACAGACACTATGTCTGTGAGAAAAAGTAATTTTGTAGAAACTTTGGGCAGTTATTAGTTAGTCTTTTATCAACAAGCAGCTGTGTCAGTACACAGCATGGTTTTATCTTTTTCAAGTTATACACAGCGGATTTCTGCCAAAAATATCACATAATTAACTTGATACAGTTATCAAGTTAATTATGTGATATTTTTGGCAGAAATCCGCTGTGTATAACTTGAAAAAGATAAAACCATAAAGTTGTTGCATAGCCATTTTTGAAACCTATAATAAGTAAATTAAGTCAACATGATGCTGTTAAATTTGTTAACCTTACTGTTCAAACTATCTAAGTCCAACATTTTGACATTTCCTAGCCTTCACTTTTCTGTTCACCATGATGGAACCTGTTCCATGGCAACTGAAGATTGCGTTCCATTTCTTTGGTTTTGCTGCGTTTCTCATGGGCCTTGTACAGTTTGGTTCAACCATGGCTTCACACGACTGTGTAAGAAAATATATACCACAGACACAGTATATACACTAAACAATGTCTTTTTCTCTCTTCAAATCCTTTTCCCTTTTTGAATTGTTTTGTTTACATGCACTCATCTGTTTTTCTTTACTGCAAATGCAGCTATACATATTTCGTATAGATTATATTATAGTAATACAGTTTTAATTTTTCCCGCATTTTATTTTATTGCTGTGTAGTGGTTTAATACACCAGAGCTCTACTCGCTGTCTTTGTCATTTAGCATTTTGGCTATGTTAACATCAGGTAAGTTGAAAACTATATGAGGACTGTTTTAATGGGGATTTTTGATGTCAGTTGTCAGCAGAAATATAGGCTTTTGTTAACTGTCAGGAGGCTAGGATATTTTATATCATGTCTGCTCCAAAATGCTATTTGAGCGATCGTTTGTCAGCTATTACGATATTTTGTCAGTTATGAAAATACAGGTAAATATTAGTAACTGTGTATACATTTTGACCCTCTATAAATGCAGTATCTTTCTTCTATCTATCTTTATTTGATATTTGTAGTGTTTCTTTTGCTGATGTTGCCATTCTGGTTCATCAACTATTTCTTCCCTCATTCCGTGTTGAGTCGAAAAGAACGACGAGGAATGTGCTACGAACCAGTCAAATGCTGCACTTGTCTTTGGCATATATGAAAACTTGTTCAGTGAACAAATGTTGTATATATATAGTGTTTTTGTTAATAGTATATGCATGATGGGAAATCTTGTGTTTATGCCTATTTATTTGATGTAAATCCACAAGTACTAATTGTACTACTTTAAAACACGACCACGAGTGTTTCATCAAATATAAAACACAAGGCGACAGCCAAGTGTTTTATATCTGATAATTAGAGCACGGAATGCGAGTGTTTTAAATGGCTTAAAATATGACCGATCTTTTAACTGAGTTCATTGGCGAAGTGGTTTTAAGAATAAACGTTGTCTAGCCGAGAAAATCAAAGCTAAAGTGTATGTAAATTAACACATTTTTTATCACATATAAAACCACCGACACGGTAGTCGGTCAGCCTCGCACCCAGGCGCTAAAAATGGGCACACTACAGTGTTTTTATATAGATCAGTGGCTCGAGCGCGCGGGGGTGCTTGGGGAGGTTGCCCCGCGCGCTCGCTCATCTTAGCCACTGATCTATATAAAAGTACTGCAGTGTGCCTATTTTTAGTTAATTGCGCCTGGGTACGAGGCTGGTAGTCGGTAGTGATTTGACGGCCTCAGTTTTTCTTTTCATTAGACATACTTATGAATTATTGAGTTTTTAAAGCAATTTTTCACTTTTTTAACAAGAAGTAGAAAACAAAACACGAACGATAGAAGAATTTTGTTTTAGATAATTTAATTATACTAGTACATGCAATTATTTATTCATTGTACAATAGTATTTCAATTTATTTTCACCTAATGAACTAATATACAAAACTATTGATTTACAATACTATCAATAATATGTTTTAGTATTTTGCTGTTTTGGCCGACATAGCTCTTCTCGTTCGTATTTTAGCCATTTCGTTTTGCTGTTGGATTTTGTGTTGTGACAAAAAATAAACGCTGTTCTTTAACTGTACCTGAGCCGTCCTTGGCAAATCACGTAGAGTTTTTACAGCAGTATCTGGCCTTGAGCATGCGTCGTTCAGTGACACGTGACCAAACTGTCTTATAACGGGAGTGAGGCTCATGGAACGGCCATCGCGACCGCTGAATGAAACGCGCGTGCGTTGAGCAGGCGCTGATTTAGCCCGTGTTTTTATCCCACCTAAACTCAGCCCGTTTTGTGCGGGCAAACTTAACGTTGGACGCAAAGGCGGTTTCCTAAGAGCTCGTTTTTCGTCTATTTGTTGTTCATTGTAAATGGTTTTGTCTGAACTTTTTTCTGTTTTCTGAACTTGTGGAGTTTTTTCTAACTCTGATTTGGACATCATTCGCATGAAGGTTAATGATGTGTCCGATTTTGATCGCCTGAAGTGTACGTTGCCTTTTGGTTTTAGTTTAGTAATGTTGTTTATTGCGCAAGACCTTTCACTATTACTAGTATTAGGTCGACATTTTAAAGATTGCTCATTTCTCTTAACATCATGAGTAATGCTCCAGTTTCGAAATTTATTTTCATCGACCAGCTTTCCCCCGACTGAGCTTTTCTCGATATCTTTGGGAGTGAGGCCGAAATTGCCCGAGGTACATTCAATTCCCTTTGATCTACTTTCGAAATTGTCCGAACTGCTTCCGACAGTATTCGAAGTCCTTCCGAACGTTTCCGAGCTTCCGATAGTATCCGTACCATTTCCAATGCACACACAATTAAGTATAGCGAATTCTTCCTGTTCTTTAGCCAATCTGTCGATGACTTTCTTCTCCGTTTTTTCCAGAAGTTTTCGTTTATTTTCTAACATTCTTTCTTCGAACTTGTTCTTTCGCAGAAATACGTCCGGTAAAGCGCTCTTCAATGGCGCGACCGGTTTTAGTCGATGATGCGATGACATTACTGTGTTTTCATGCAGTCTATTAAACTCTTTCTGACGGTAATGAAGTAGTGTCAATCTCTTTGCTTTACTGCATTTGGGTGATACATGGTGAGATTTACACGTTAATCGCTTAACAACAGGCAGATTATCTTACACAAATAGAGCAGTGCAAATCACGGACATTATTTATTCCACCAGTTTATCAAATTTGCATCGACGCCATTGTTTTAAAATAGTTTTCAATACAGGAAACGGTAAAAGCCCACTTTTAGGTTAGTTCACTTTTACATTTTATAAAAGTGGTCTATAGCTAAATATCATTTTAAAATGTACGAGTCTTTTGTAATAGATTCTCACCAGACTGGGGAAAGGAAAAATTATTTTGCCAAGACAATTTTAAGCTTTTCAGTATATTTTTTACATCTTTTTGTCTGCATTCTTTTCATCCAGCGGTTTAATACGAGTAGAACATTGTTATAGATTGTATACCACTTCATGTTAGAAACACGTACGTAATGGTTTGAATTGGGGTCAAGTAGCATATGATGTTAAAACTAGGCATAGGGTTTGTGTAAGGGTAAGAGCTACTTATAAGAACCATGATTAATCAAAATGTTTTGTACTGTTGTAGTCATTACATGAAGTATAGTGATTCATGTCTCGTTATTTTACGACTCGCTGATCTGTTCTTAATCCTAACCGCTGACCCTAACATGAATCTCCCATAATACAGAATTACGAAACTACGCAAAAACTGTAATCCTCATAAATGGCTAGGTTATTCAGCACTGTGTTATAAATCATTCTGTCCGTTTGCACAAAGGTTTTAACACTAGCAAACAAGTCCTTCCACAAACACAAACGAATTAGTGTCATGAAGTATAAAATCCGTTGAAATATGATAAGAGTACGAATCGCCATTACTCAAACACTGCGTGTAAGCCCGTCTAAGTTTTGTCTTTTGACCGCCTGTACCTGTAACCTTCTGGCCGTCGACAGAAGTTTCTGCCTAGTTCAAAATGGAGGCCAGTTTTTTGCCTAAGGTGCAAGGGCAAGGCGGTAAACAAAAAGAGCACAGCCATTCGCTTTTGTTCGACAGTGCCATGACGGATAAAGTGTTGAGGCAAAATGCTTACGAAGAGCGGCTTCTCTTAAAAAGGACCGAGCATATTGAAAAGCAGAAACAACAAACTTTGGGAGAACATAACTTTTGTAAGAGTCAATTTTTGCTGCGTTTCATGCCCGTTGTGAAACGACAAAGCGAATTAAGAAAAGAGTTGCTCTCCAAGGTTTTTGATTCTGAAATTCCAAGCGGCGAAAAAGCAATCGCAGAACGAAAACGACCACTGTCAAGCTACCCAAATGTCAAAAGCAGAACAAGTACAGCAAATGAGAAAGTAAAACCGAGACATAGGCGTACTGTGAGTGCAGAGCTGAGATTTCCCGCATTGCAAGAAGATATGGACGACATTCTGAACGGTTATAGGACCACCAAACCCCAACCAAAGTCAGTTTCACCGACGAAGATGCGATTCCGAGGGAATTGGGATCTGGAATCGCGCACAAACAATAGTCAAGCCCGAAACGAAACATCCTTACCAAAAACATTAACGCCAGAAAGGAAGACAAGATCGAAAGGCATCGATTTCGGCATCTTAAAAGACAGGAACGTCGAGGATACAGACCATTTGACGAACAACACCTTGACTTTCGACTGTCCTAAAATTTCGAAGGGTAAAGTAACGGAAAATGTAACCACTGACACTGTTTCTATTAATGAAAACTCGACTAAAAATTCCCAAAACTTTTTAGCTGAGGATAATCATGATAGGATTGTTCAACAAGAAACCATAATTACATTAGAAAGTCCTGAAGAAGAAGTCGCCAAGAAAAAAACGAGCAAGCATTCAACAAAATCCGTGAAAATTTTAAATGAGGATACTGGTGTTGTAAATGATGACAGCTGCATGCGCAATTCCTTTCCGAGGCAATTGAGGATCTTTCAAAATGACAACAAATTGCCTGAAAAATTGCTAAAAAACTTAATCCATACGCTCAAGAACGACACGGCAGCATCAAATACGGCACGGTTTCTTGCAAAAATGCTAAACAGTGATGGAAATAGTAATTTTTCTTGTTTAAACGAAATCCTGGCAGTTTAGTATCACTTCAACTAGGGAACACCAATGGGATTCATCTTCTGAGTGATGTGAAAAAGCGGCAACGGCATGAAGCTCAGAGATTACGGATCATGCGCACTATTGTGCTGGCCTATGATACTGTTTGGAATGAAAGGGTTAAAAAGATTAGCGCTGCAGCTTAAAACGATTAACTGGTACAAATAAGAAAAACTTATTGTTGGCTAATTAACTCTTAATGCTTGAAATAAAAGACAAACATATCATATCTTCTGTAGTTAGGGTAAATTTCAAGTTGAATCGAATCAAATTTATTTCAGTTTAACTCTATGTTTCCGTAAATTTTTTAATATTAGTAAATTACCATTCTAATTTCTGTTCGGCCACTTTAGAAAGATAAAAGAGGGAGGTCCTGAAGGGTTAAAATGGGAAAATTGGGACTTGCCTATTTTTGTACTAGAAACAGTATGGGATTAATGTTGTTGGGTCATTACACTCGAGTGTAGGTGCCTAATTCCTGAGATCTACCCATAATCACCTTAGTTATAGTATATATACATGAACTTGCAGTCTTGCGGTTGGCCACTTGAACTGGTCTCTGTGGCTCAGTTGGTTAGAGCGCTGCACCAATCTCGTACCCAGAGCAATGCCTATGCGCGGGCTAGGATGGCATTGGCTCTGGGGAAATTGAATTTTTCCTGTGCTGTGATTGGTTTAACGTCTATCAATCATGCATGCCGACAAAGAACCGGAACCCCAGAATTTAGGGGTTCCGGTTTCAATTTCCCCCTAGCCCGCGCACAGGCATTGCTCTGGGTACGAGATTGGCGCTGCACTGGAATCTCGGGGCCGCAGGTTCGATTCCTGGGTACGAGGTTTCGATTAGCTCAGCCAATCAGCGTGAGGCTAGTTATGGAATGCTCTTGACAACCACGGAAGTTTCAAGTTTCA